AGGAAGTTGGCGGAAAGTCACCGGAAAAAATACGGAGAATTTCCGGCCGGAATACTGCCACCCAGTTCCGGCGACTTCCGGTGTTTTCCTGCCGGAACCGGCCCGTACTTTTCGACCTGGGATAGTCAAATACCATTGTAATATTTGATGGTGGGTGTGAGTGATGGTTTCCTTTACATTCACAACTCATGGCTTTTAATAACGAAAACCAAAAGAGATTAATATACATTCCTATACGCCTTCATCCTTTATTTTTAGTTGTTAGTCTTCACTTATAGAATCGATAATCCATCGCAATAAATTCTAATAAATTTTTACAGATATAAGAGTCAAAAATAAAAGAAAAAGATGCAACAGATTCTAGCTTCTTCTGTCAGTACTTCATTGGTACTTCATTCGCACTTTGGACTACCGACTCTCATTTCTTTCCTCTTGTTATGTGGTGTCTACCTAGATCTAGATGCAGAGCCTCACCCACACCTAAACCAGTGCAAATATATGTGAATATATATATATGATGCAAAAATTGGTTATATTTACTGATCTTTTATAAGAAGAAAGTGTCTCTATTTTAATATTTCACAACTAATACCTTAGTACTTCAGTTTTTTGACGAAAAGACTCTTATCAGCAAAAATAAGAACTGTGTATGGTCACATTTACATGTCTTTATCTGTTCGAAGCGTGTAAGAAATAAAAAAGAATTGGTCTTATATTTCATTTCTATTCTAATGTAATGAAAAAGAATTACTTATTGTCTAGAACTGTTTTCATTTTGATACCTAAAGATCTCTTATCTATTAAACCTTCTTTATATATTTACTATTTCGAGATGCACAAGAGTAAATATTATCTAGCAAATACTTCTGTTTTGTATGAGACCTTGACTGTGCATGTTGTTATTTTGCTGATAGTCATCATAATGATATAACGCGGGACTATTAATCTATAAAAGGCTACGAACTCTTTTTTCTTCTTTTGCAGTCAGGTTACTTCGATAATAAACATGGAGTCAACAACCACACAATCTCAAAACGGTAATAGTGATTGGCATTCACAACAAAAACGAGAAACCAATATATTTTTAGCAGAACGACAACTCACCACGGAAATACCATATAACTTTGTTTTAGGAAGTCGTCTTTCAGCAGCTCAACCTAACAATCAACAAGGTCAGTGGTGCATAACTTCTGGTTAAAAACAAAAAAATAAAGCCGATTACAATTTAGATTTACTTAAACATTTATCATGTGATTTTGCCCACCTACTCAATCGAATGGATCTTAGTGACTGTTTGCTTAATGTTAAAGGTCAATCATATTTAATGTGACTATACAGTGCTGGCTAAAAATATAAGAGCAGACAGTTTCGTAACGTTTTTATAATATATGTCTTTACTTTTTCTTATTGATAATAGTTTATGTGTATACACTTATGCATTCAGTTGCACTCTATTTGAAACTGAAGTCAGCTTTCCTCATTTCGCATGTTAGAGTCGAGAAAGCACATTTTGATAAAAAATTCTATTTTTTGCATGTACCTAAAAAAATGTCAGTCTAGCTCAGATTTCTACATATAAAAGTCAAGATCGACATGCGACCGTTTTTTTCCACAGTTTTATGCAATAAAAAACATTTTTCGTCACAAAATAAGAATCTTTGAAGTTTGAAAACCATCGTATTCAAAATAGACCACCAAGTTAATAACAAATAATAGTTTTCGTATCACATTCCACATAAAATTGCCAATTTCTAGAATTTTAAATTAAAAAATGGTGTTCTCTTTCTAACAGAATGATTCTCAGACTTTGAAGATGTCTCATTTTGTGACAAAATGTGTGTTCTATTGCGTGAATCTGTAAAAAAGTACTTCCATATCTACTTTGCATCTTATATGTAAGAATCTGAGTCACACTGACATGTTTTGTGGTAGACCTAAAAAATACGAATTTTTATAAAAATATGATTTCTCCACTCTGACATACGAAATGAGGAAATCTCACTTCAGTCTGGAATAGAGTTCAACCGAATGCATATGTTTATATATATGAAGTATTATCAATAACAAAAAAGTAATGGTATATATGACAAAATCGTTAACAAATTGTTTGGTCTTATATTTCTGGCCACCACAGTATTTCTCAATAGATATTCTATGAATTTAATTCCTTTTCTAATAGGTACTTACATGGCTGTTCATCGATGTGTTCTTGCTGCTCGTTCAAATACTTTTTCTGGTAAATGATAATCAAATGCAGTTAATATTTTAATAATATTTAAAATGTTCTTTTTTTCCTCATAGCTATTATGTCGGGCAATAACAGTCGACTTGATCCTGATATAAAAAAAGGACTTGAAACATCTGTGAGGAATAATAAATTAGAAATTTCTATTGATAAAACTCTTCCCGAAATAATGAAACAAGTTATTATATTTATGTATACAGCTAAATGTGAACTAAATGAACGTAATGGTACATTTTCAATTATTTTATTTTGTCATCAATGTTAAATAATGATATCTCAATATTAGTTTTTTTTCTATTTGTAGCATATGGCCTTCTTGATGCGGCTGGTCGATATGATATTAAAAGTTTAAAAGAATATACTTCTCAACGTAAGTTTTATTTTTTCTATAACATTTAAATTATCATATGTACATGATTTTTTATCTTCCTTAAGTTCTTGTTAATCATATCAACATAAATAATGTGTTGAAGTTAATAGAATCCGCATATGTATACAATAATTTATTACTTAAACATAAATGTATTGATTATTTTATTGATAACGGTAAGGAAGTGATGGATACAAATGAATCGTGGGGACGCTTCGCTAATAATTGCAAAGGGATTGTTGCTGACCTTCTTTATTGGACTGTTAATAAAGACGAATACCGCCAAGAAATAGCTCAACCGCAGTTACATTCGCAATGGTAATTTAGAAAACAATTATTCAACAAATATAAACGATAAACAGTAAAACTAAAATAGATGTCAATAAAACATTTCTTTTGTTATATTAGCAATATATATGTTGCAGTTGAGTTTAGAGTCTGGTTGAGAGTGGAATCGTTTAGTTTATTTTGTTTGTTTATAGATTTCGTTATCACGCACACATGAGAATTTATTTGTTTCTTATCAAGTTTGTTTTTTATTATTTCTTGGATAATGAAAATAGATTCATATTTTATTTGGTTGATAAACAGTTATCCATGCTTTTATTTATTGTTTTTTTGTGTGACTGTATAGATTAGTCATGGTATTGATTTCAGTGAAGTTTTAAAACGTAATAATGCTGGAAGATGATTTGCTATAACACTATTTCTCGCTGAATTCGTACGAATTACAGTTGAATGTTTTTTTCTGATGCCGGGGACATGGGGACATTGAATGATTGGTTGAAACGAAATCTGGAGCAAATTAGTCATCTCTATTATTCTATATTTGAAATTTTTTCGAGCAGCGGGACATGGAGACATAGAGCGATTGCTTGAAACGAATTTTAGAATTGCTGAGTCATTAAATAAAAAAAATCAACATTAAGTATCTTATGACTCATGCTATAATGTTAGCTTGTTTATTGATTCCGAAGTCAACTGAATTCTCAAGTCAACTGTGACACATGTTCTTTTTCTTCTTTGCTATGATTTTCTTGTATTGGTTTTTTCGTGTTAAAAAGACAATAAAAGTAACGGCAAATCACCGCAGAAAAAAGCAATCAAAAATGATATTATATGTATCATCAAATTGGTAAATGAACTTCCATAAAAGTCAATTTTATCATCAGAAGTACTACCTTATTCTTCATCACAATCAAGACAAAATAAAT